AAAACAATACAGATTATTTTAAATCTATGTAAATATTTTGAATTTTCACTGTCTGATGACAGACCTAAACTGACATTCTGTAAATTCTTCATGAACTGGCTGAATACACATTGCATGGATATGTGTTTCCCTTCTGTCTTGAATCAGTGTCACACAAGCCATCCTCTACCTCCAAGATCCACTGCACTCTGCTGACACCCCCGAACCTCAAATTCTAGTGCAGTGTTGTTTATGAGAGTCACAATACTGTAGACATCATAGCAGGATATTGCTCACTTACAGACAGACAGCCCACTGATCAATGTTTTTCTTTGTGACACAGAACAACAGGGGAAATGTGAGAGAGAGCAACCACACAGAATTAAGGAGACAGCTCAGGGCTCAGCATTGCTCAACTATCTGCATCCTTCCTGTGTTTTCCTTTCTTAAACATAATCTCTTCGTTGGCGGGCTGAGGAAGCTTTCTCCATATTTGTTGTTTCAGTGTAAATCTCCATACACAGTACCTCCTGTGTATTCGCTTACATCTTCAGAAAAAAATGTATTTTGCTTTTTGCATGTAAATCTAATGCCACCTGCTGGCTGACTGAAAGCATCTCATGCAAGGCCAAGTTCCCAGATGCTGTGGTGTTCGTGCCTGCTTCCTTCTTCGCCTTTGCGGCCAGCAGCCATATCACTCTGCAACTCACAGCTGGCAGCCCACTGGAGCTCAGCAGGTGTGAGCTGGAGGGGAGACTCCTGGGAAAGTTGAGGTTGCTGCTGGAAGAGCTGTTAGTGGGGCCAGCAGGGGGCACTCACCTTGTGATCCAGTAGGTCCTAATGCCCAGTATAGTGACAGGGACACTATACTATAAACAGACGCCGTCCTTCGGATGAGATGTAAAACCGAGGGCCTGACTCTCTGTGGTCATTAAAAATCCTGGGGCATTTCTCGAATAGAGTGGGGGTGTTACCCTGGCGTCTTGGCCAGATTTCCCTCTGGCCTTTACCACTCATTGCCTCCTAATAATCCCCCTCTCTGAACTGGGTTCATCACTCTGCTCTCCTCCCCACTGAGAGCTGATGTGTGGTGAGTGTTCTGGCGCACTATGGCTGGTCGTATCATCCAGGTGGATGCTGCACATTGGTGGTGGTGGAGGAGAGTCCCCATTACCTGTAAAGCGCTTTGAGTTGAGTGTCCAGAAAAGCGCTATACTGTATAAGTGTAAGCTATTATTATTATTGTGGTGTGTGGCATACAGAATGTTTCTATCCCTTGAATGTCACTCTTACTACAGCATGATTGTGCTTTATACTATACAGCCTGAAATCAGTATGAAATTGTTCTATTGTTCACTAGGGAATCGGGAAGAGTTACCAACCCACGGAAATGCAGGGAATCAACACGGGATTGCTTGGATTTAGACTTTGTTTTCAAAACCTCTGTTGAGCTGTACTGTGAAACCCACTTAATCGACTTAATAGTCCCACTGAGACTTAGATGCATTCCTCCAGCAACTCTCTCACTTCCATGTCAAAAGAAGACATCCTTCATCCCTCCAGGGCAGAAATCTGCAGAAGCCCTTTGTTAGCTATTCAGTATTTCACCCTCCCAGAGGTGAAGCAATACTTTCTCAGAGAAAGTATTGAGTTTTTTTTCCACACTTCACAGCCACCCCCATAAGGGTGCACCTCACTTGTGTGAGGTGTACCAAAGCTCAACCAGCAATTGTTGTGGCACAGTATCCTGCACTAACAAAACAATATAGAAATAATATAACAATACAGATGATAAATTAATTTCAATTCACCAGTATGGATGATGACTTGTGAATTCTGTATCTCCATTTCAAACTGCTACTACACGGTAAAAGGTTTAAATGCCACACCCACAGCTAACACCAAACAATCTTTCACTGTCCCCTTTCCTTCCAGGGAAAACTAAGCAGCTTCTGAGACCAGGACTCCTATTCTCCAGGCAACTAATCCAGGGATCCACCTTTTCTCCCAGGTTACACTTCTTCTCTAGGGCTCACCCCCCCATGGGATCTCCCAAATCTTCACTTGCTGACTCCATGTCCCTAATAGTCATCTCATGCATCCGGTGGACCTACAACTAAAGAGTAACATTGTCTACTTGCCCTAACATCCCAAACCACCTTCAAAGATATTAAAAATAATAATTCCTAACACTTATATAGCACTTTTCTGGACTCAAAGTGCTTTACGGGTAAAGGGGACTCCCCTCCACCACCACCAACATCCAGCACCCACTTGGATGATGCAACGGCAACCAGAGTGCTCCAGTACACTCACCTTAGCTATTAGTGGAGAAGAGAACAAAGTGATGAAGCCACTTCAAAGATGGGGATTATTAGGAGGTCATGATTAGTAAAGGGCAGGGGGAAATCTGGCTAGGACACCAATTTTCCCCTTACAGGGAATTCCAAAACCCCTTCGGGATTTGTAACAAATGGAACCCATAACCACGTCCCCTGCTCACTCTCAATCCCTCATTCATAAACCTCGTCCTTAAAAACAGTAACCTTTAACAGTAACAGTACAACCCTCACTTGGCTGATCTCATTTGGCCAGGGATCAAAAACCATAACCTTTACTGGTACCTCTGGCACAGCAACAGCCAAGTCTGCTACTAATTTACTGAATAGCGCTTTCACTCGCCAACAGGAAACCTATAGACTAATCATAGCGGCACAAAGAAGGGTTCTACCTGAGAGCTGTTTTGCCTCTAACCATTCATTAAGACTGGAGATCCTTATCTTCAGAGCTTACCTTTGCTCCTTCCATACCCAGTCTTCTCTTTACTCTCCATGTTTCCTAAACTACCCCATCTGATCTTGATACCCAAGAGACTGTATGAACCTTTTGCCAGGAGCTTTAACCAGAGACTGATGTAAATCATCATGGGCATTCTCTCTACAAGACCTCTCATGAGATGTTACTTCTCACTCTTAAGGTTATAACACAACCCTAATTAAAGAGGTCAGCTGAAGCACAGTGCTGCACTGTTTACAAGTGCAAATGCAAACACAAATGTGTGCAGATTTGCCTGATCTGTCTATTAACCTATTTTATGGTTCTCTGGCTACACCAACCATGCAAAATCCCCCTGCAACTACTGCTGCCCTGTTACTCCAAGGTCATGTGTGTAAATGGTTTGAGAACTAGTTAACAAACAGGAACCTGTGTGTTATCTTAAAGGGCATAACCTCTAACTAGGCTGATGTGAGTTGTGTGAGTGAGTGTAGTGTGATGTGAGTGTGCCATAGGGATCCATTTTAGGCCTGTTACTCTTCCTGATATAGAGCAACAATCTAGCCTCTGGTAACAAACTAGTAAATGTTTCTGACAATACTTAAAAAGAGGGAATGACAAACACAGCAAGGGAATCACAAAAATACGTAGACAAAATCAAGGATTCAGTTGACACTTGTCAAATGAAGTAAATTTGACAAAATCAGCATTGATAAGTGGAAAGTTATCCAGACCAGCAGTAGGAACATAGTCTTCATATATATTGCATGGCTGCTTCTGTGTTGCAGAAAGTCAGACCTGAAAGGAATCTGTGTGTTTATGCAGATTTTTCAATTTCCTCATCAAGACAATGTGGGGAAGCAATAAAAAAGCAAGCAGTGCTGGGGTACACAGTAAAAAGTATGACATTTAAATCCATTGAAGATACTGTGATTGGTTTTGTTCACCATTTCCCAGTAAAGATATGACCTTAGAAAAAGTTCATAGAAGAACAAAAAAATATATTCCTGGTCTCAGAGGACTGTCTTATACGAACAGGAAGAGGAAGCTATATATCCTCAGACTAGAACAGAGGAGATTGAGAGCAGATTGATCTCCTCAATCTTGAAGATTTTCAAAATCATCAGTAAAACAGGACACCATTGGAAATTAAGTAAAATTCATTAAGGACAGAGAATAGGAAACCTTTCTTTAATCAGAGAGTGGTAGGTGTTGGGAACAGGCTTCCCAGGCAGGCTGTTCAGGCTGGGTACCTTTAAGACACTGCTGTAGTTCAGACTCACTTGCAAACAACAACTAAACAATTACTAATCATTTGCTTTCATTTGTTTTTATAATAATATCTCTGACCAACAGCTGAATCATGATTGCAGCCAACAACTCTAAATTTTCAGTGACTACAAAGCACAATCTGCAATGAAAATATTATCATACAAAGCAAATGGTCTAGCTTCACAGATATGGAAAAATGCATTTCTAAAGAACACACTCTTTAAAGAACTTGCTGCCAATACTTCTTAAACAACAGCAGTCACAATGACAGTTAAGACTCTATGGCTTTTCTTTCAGGCAGTCAGGTCCCTGCATGAGGAAAACTGCTCCTAGAGCTTGACGGTTCGTGACATCGAACTGGGCTCAAATTTTGTAATCAAAAACACAGTTGCTGGACTGTTAAGGTTAGATAGCAGCTCAGACCTTGTAGTCCCAATGGTTTTGTGTGTGTGGGGGGAGGCACTGTCTATGTTTTGAATAAAACATATACAGTAAACAGATAGAGTTTGCAAATAAGACTGAAAATGTTTTGTAGAAAGAGTTTCAATTCTGGATCTGGGGCGCTATCTGCATGGAGTTTGTATGTTCTCCCTGTGTTTGTGTCTGTGTGTTCCCTGCGATGGACTGGTTTCCTGTCCGGGGCCTTGTGCCCCTTGCTTGGCAGGATAGGCTCCAGCTCCCCTGTGACCCAGTATTGGATAAAGAAGTTATAAAATGGTTGGATGGACTGTATTGGATGGACAACTATTTGTATAATGTTTCTTGTATTTTCATTATTACTACAAATGATGGAGGCATTCTCCCCAAAGAAGTGCAGAAGATCCACAATCCCTCACATCTTACATACAGTATACCGTACATTGAAGCTCTGAACACGATCGTCACACATCCCTCCCCCCTTGAGTATGATCCGGTGAAACCTACTAACATCCCTTTCCTGCCCTTGTAAGAAGAGGAAAGAAGGAGAAGGAGGAGAGGAGCTTGATAAGAATTCCAGAGACCTGCCAAAAGCAACTAACAATTTTCCCGCAGTTCTCCAGGGCCAAGGAAAGAGAGAGGAGACCTCCAGTGATTCAGTGCTGTGGAAAGTACAACTAGAATTGTTCCAGGACCTATGACTTTTGCAGGGGAGGCTGGCTGGGGCGGGAGGTTCATTTCCGACCATTGTTGAAGCTGTGAAACCTTACGGCGTAGGGGAGGGGTTTGAAGGAATGGGAGGGGGTACCCAGGATGGGGTGGGGGGAATTAAAGCACTTAAAGCAATCCCTGGAAAAAACAAATAGCAGTCCTACGCAGAGACAAGTTTTGGCAGCTGGCTGAGCAGAGACGACATGGTTGGGAGGATACTCTTGCTCGTTCTGGGACCCTTTTTGGTGCACTCTGACCTCAGGGCTCGGGACCCTGGGATTGAAGATGAGCCCGATGAGGTCATGGGGAAGGGCACCTGGGATAACTTCCCCTCCACCAGGTTCGGACTGCACCATCACACCAGGACACATGGACACCATTCGAATACAGCTGGTCCCAGGGACCCCACAGCAGTGAGGCTGGACACAGCTCCTCCTACTGGAGAAACAGGGGGCACACACCATCCCGCTCGCATAGGGTGAGTTCTGAATTCCTTGGAGACACACGGCTAACACAAAGTCACAATATCACTGTGCGTTTAGGTCATCACGAACGGCAGGGAAGCAGAAGAAATATTAGTACACACCAAAAGAAAGGCTGGCTTACATGTTGAAAAGCAAAAGAAAAAAATAATCTTTTTGTAAATCTGTGTTTGTTACATACCTACATTACAGTGTATGCAGACACTTCTTGATTCACTTGTAATCTTTACTCCAAAGCTGAATCGCTTTTAAATACATTTCAAAAAACTTAATTTGCACATGTTTAATAAAATGTATTAAACTGAATTTACTGTTTAATCAATTTTCCAGTTTCACTGGTGCTAATGATATTGAGTATAGAGTGTATATATACAGTACTGTAGTACAGATCACAAATGGTATTGGTCACGATACTGATTTGATGTGTTTTAAATGTGTTTCTGAAAACAATATATAATCATATATTTAGGAATACATTATAAAAGCTCTTTTGGCAGTTTTTCAGAATCATCAAGTTCTAACAAGACGATGGCCCCAAGAATACAGTACATTTTCAAATATTTTAAGTCCTTACTGTATCAGTTACATTCTTCTGAAGCTGAGGTGGTTGTCATGTACAGAACTAACCTTCTAGAAATCTGTGATCAGTGGGAATTCAGGGTTTTGGAAACTGATTAGCCTGAACATTTGCAATTATACATGTGTTCAGACTGCTGCTTGCATCTCTATGCACACAGGCCCTGGGGACCAGGGAATTTCCTTTCAGTGCTTCTGGTACTGTATACACAACATTCCCTATTCAGTTAAATAGGCATATGTTTCACTTTATGCAACAGTAATCAATTGTAAATTATTATAATCACCAGAACACATTTCCTGTGTTCTTTCTGCTGTGGTCAGTGATCATTTAAGGAGTGGTTATTTAAGGTTTGCAGTCTCTGTTAATGCATATAAATAAGTCTAATATGCATGGCATCAAATCAATTTTTGTTGTAATACATCTTGGAGTGGCCTGAGTAAAACTACTACAATTATTTCTTTATCAGCAGTTGTACTTACAGTTTTTCCCGTGAAGTAAAGAGCTCAACATTCTTTTTGACTTGCCATTAATTTAATAGCTTACAGCCCTGCAACCCTACAGCTCTGCTTGAGTGCCTCAAGATGTGTGAAGCATTGTTTGGTCACTCTGCGTTAGACTGCTGGGCTGCAGTGTATTTAAGTTTGAATTGATTGCCTCATTTATGCTCCCGTTTAGAGTGCTGGGCTGCAGTATTTTCAGGTTTAGAGTATCAGCAGTGTCCGACAGGCCACAGGTATTGTGGTGTTACAGCTGTTGCAGTCACACTTGTGGGAAAACTGCTCCTACTGTGAAACTCAATTCAGTGACTCCTGTTCACTTTGAATGGGTCCCTCCAGTTAACTGGTCAAGAGCAGGCTGTAGGCAGCAAGGCTGTACTTCTATATAAGGCAGAAACTAGACAGACATCAAGAGTCCAGTGTTCTCAGAATTATTTGTTTAGAAGACACTTATAAAAGATAGCTTTGGTAGCGTTATAACGGATAAGTGGAGGATCTGATAAAAGCAGAATAACTACAAATAAAAGTCTGGGGTATTTGCATGTGAAAAAATTGAATGTGAATATAATTTGCGTGTGAATGTATGTCTTAGTGTCATATCAAATTTACCACATTAAATAATTTAAATTTAACTGCAGGATTGCTCAGAGTAAGTCTCTTGCACTACGCGTAAACTACGCACAACGTTCGCAAAACTAGTCATGGTCTTTTAACTTTTACCATATTTATCATTTCCGTACTGTATGGAAATACTGTAACTTACTGTACTGCAACTATGTATAAAGCAGTTTAAATTTGCACAATTTTCACTACTATAACATTTTCAGGTTGCATTTATATTGACTTTGTAACATTTTTCAGATTGGTAAGACATTCGACAAAGTAAGACAGTATACAGTATGTGTAGTATAGGATATTGTTGTTGAAGCTGACATGTTGTTTTCAACTGGATGACGGCCTGGAACAGTGCCTCTGAAGTGTCAGTGCTGTCTATGGCCCCCATACGTCAACTCTCCCCTGGATGAGCCATCTACAGGAGCTCCCCTGAAGTGTGCTAATTCTCCCTCCCTCTGCTGTCTTAACAAGGCTTTCAATTAGGATCTTTCTTCCTTCATCTCTCAGACCTAAAACCAAAGCTAAAATGCCCGCCTGCCTGAACGCCCTTTTCATTTTGTATCTCCATGGCAACATTCAAGAGGAAAATGACCTTTTGCTTATTCCACTGATTTTGTTTTTCCTTTGAACTAGAAGACACGACAGTCAGTCTTGTTTAGCTTGGCTTTTGTGTGAAGATGCAAGGTCAGCTGGCCAAGGTCTCTGGGAACAATGGGAACATCCATCTGTGAGCTTGTGTGATCCGACGGAATGTTCCAGAGCATGAGGAGGAAGTGTCAGCCCCACACTGGCGAGAGCCTGCCTTGTACCCCTGGAAATCAGCAGTAATGGTCTTCACCAGTGGTGCATTCTTGTTTGAGAAAGAAACTTGAAACAATTAAACTGGCCAGTATAATGACATTACTGTGGCATGTTGTGGAAGGTAATGCTGGCTGCCTTAGCAAACAGTCGGGGTGACCTCTCCGCTTATGTTCATATCCAACTGAAAAGTTAGAGGCATGTGAGGCAAGCACCAAGAACTTCAGCACAGGATCTTTTTCACAGCTCATTAAGCTTTAAATTGACTGCAGGTTTTATTAGCTGGATTTCTTTTAGTTTCTTTTTGATGAAATCTCAGGTGTGATGAGTTCATGCAGCAGTATTCCCTCTTTAGTGCCTGAGAGACAGCGGTTCCACTCTCTGTCCCCAGATGTGGCAGAGTTCATGTTACAGAGTCAGTGTTGCACAGCTTCTTTAGGGGCCCTTACTTAATAAAGCTTTAATAGAGTGTTGCTCTGCTTCTGCACAAAAGACAGTTCCAGAAATGTTGCATAAGAAGTTCATTTCAAAGACCAATATTATTACTATATGCCACACTGAAAAGGATACAACTTTATCTCATACATTAAACATCTGCTACTCATCTTCAAATCACTGACACAATTTGATTTGATTAATGGCGTGTTTGGATGGAGGCTTCGATGTGCAAGAACACTGTATCCCAGACTGAGGCTGTGCGGAGATATGGAAAATCAAACGCCCACTAAAGAGATAAGATCTCCTGGATTTGCAGGAGGGCTCTAAGAGTGAAGCAGAATCCATAAAGGCCTCCATCTCCAGTTGGGAAACAGAGCCAGTGCTCAGCGCAGTCTCATGCTCTCAAGAAACAAGAAGAAATCCCTGGCAGCACCCGCTTCCCAACACACACCCCAGGCACTAGACCTCCCTCATCCGTACCATGCTGGCTGGAGCAGAGTCAGATCACTGGCCAACAGTGACAGGGGTTTTCCAAGCAGCCACAGATCAGGAGATCGATGTTCCCACTTTTGTGAGAGACCTTAGCCCACTGACCTATGGATAAAGGGAAAAATACATTTTTGAGTTGGTCCCTTTCCCAGGGAATCAACAATCTGCTGCTTAACAATAGCAATTTTGGTATTAGCAGCCTAAATGCCAATGTCCTCCCTTCCCCAAGTCAGGTGGAATAGCTCCTGGAGATGGTGCTGCAATATTCTTTTGAGGCTTCTAAGATGTCCCCTTGACATCTAATTTATTCAGTTGCTTGTTTCCGACCATACTTATTTTCTTTGTTGCATGTTGAATTGTTCCAGCTGTGACTCATTCGTGCTGGGAACATTCCACTTAAACTCAGAGACCATGCTTTCTCAGTCTGTGTTCTTTGGGCTTCTGTTTTAGAATAAATTTACGAAATCTGTAATTGAGTTACTGCTTTTAAACTCTTTTCTTATGGAATTACCACTTATTTTCAGATTTGCCTCTCTGGCATTTACTCATTTTCCACTTGGGAGAGAACAAGACATGTGAGCATATTTGTCCAACACAACACCTGCAGAGCCAGGTCTCACTTGTGTTTGTGTCATGTGGACTCCTCACACAACTCGAACTCCGTGACGCTTGGATCTTACAGATCAATCTTTGTCCAAGTGAGCACTTATATAAAGCTTAAGTCACCCTTAGCTTTGTAAGAGGTAATTCGTGGAGAATAACAAGCAAATGAGATATGGTAGTCCCAGAGACAGTTGGAGATGTCCCCAGTGAAGGAATGTTATCACTGAAAAGGGTTTTGAAAAAAATGCTGAGGTTGTTTATCACATGGCTTAGAAACATTTTAGTTCTCAGCACTTTTGTTTATGTACTGATGTTTAAATGCTGCAGTCTGGGATCAGTGTTATTAATCCACTTAGCTTTGTCACTGTACCACTTGTGCACACATGATCATGATCATCTCAGACGGGCTACTGGAGGACACTGTGAGTCCTTCAGAACCTCCAGGATCATTGGTGTCGATTGGAGGACTGATGCAGATCCTACTGACAAAGCTGATAACTCTCTTGCACTTGGAGAGTCGTCATGTTCTATGGATTCTGGTGTAACCAAATGTACTTAGGAAACCTTGCCAGGCTGAGCTAATGGCAGAGATGAGACTCAAACCTGTGATGTCTGGAATACAGGGTTAAAAAATGCCTTGAACGAGGACTTTTACTGGTTAAGCTACTTGAGGAGGATTCAGTATCCCAGCAATCATGTGACTGTGACTGCCTTGTTATCAGGAGTAGCATTAAACTGTTTTAATTGCATAAGCCAATAACAGAAATGTCACAGAAATCAAGAAATATACTCTTGCATACAATTCATGGTTCATCTGGGATCAAAACACCCTCTCTCTCTTTTCTTGATTAATCTTAAAGTTGAGTGGCTACAGGAATGATGTACTGTAGGCCGCATGCTGATTCCACTCACTCGTGCTGCTGCAGGTGCGAGTACCTTCAGTTGAGCTCACAGCTGCAGGGCGGTGGAGTGTGGGAATCGGCTTTCAGCAGCTGTGAAAAGAACAGGGCAACAATGGTGCCTTTGGAACAAAGCAAGTAACCCCTCTGAAACAGAAAGGCCTGGCAGGGAGAGACGCATTGCGCATGGTGCCCTGGGAGCACTGTGAGATGTGGGGGCAGGGAGAGCAGGTTTACTGATACTGTTGATTGTCTGGGAGGGGGGTCAACACTGCTGATTTCTCCAGTTTGAATGGTGAAATACCACAAGGACACAAGTGGGAACTACATTGAGAACTAAGACCAGGGGGCACTTACTGTAACAAGAAAGTCTGTAACAAGCTCCCTACCCAAGCTGTTGAAAACAACACCATGGCTTCTTTCAAGAAACAGCTGTATGCAATCCTGACAGTTGCCAGCAAACAAAAGAGTGTGCTGAGCAGAGCGGAGGTTGATAACCTTTCTTGTGTTTGTATGGTGTAGAGGGCGTTTGCTAGCTGCTGTATGAGAGTGGCTGTCAGTTGTTGGGAGGGGAAGCAGGTATTGTGTAATCCCTAGGATTCTTATTTGTGAAAATTAAAAAAAAAATTGATCATCCTGTGCTTTTGCACTGCAATGGTGCAGGGAGATTGGTGGACTTGACACATTGTGCAACAGTTTTACATCCAGAGATCACTTTGCCCAATGTGCTAATGACAGCCCTCTCCCGTTGAGTTGAATGTATTATTGTAGAGCATGGCTTCCCACTGATCATCACAGCACAATGTCTTCAGCTCTGGTGTCCCACGTGGAGCAGACAAGCACACAGGGGAAGGTCTGTGGGGAGCGAGCTGAAGGAGATGCTTTTTATTGGCAGTATCAATGCTCACACAGTGAAACTTTTCCAGGTTTACTTAGCTCTTCATCCTACTGAGTGGCACTAAAGAAATTCAGTACACATACTTTGTCCTCTGCTGCTATTGATTACATAAATTCCAAGTGTAATAATAAATGTTTCTACACTGTGGACTGAGCCCTTGTTGTGCCCTCAGGAACTGGTGTACCTTTGTGACCTGGCGCATGGTGACAGTGGCAGTGTCCTGCGGCACAGAGAAGTACACCATCAAAGCACAGAGTCCCTGTCCCATCAGCTCCCCTGGCTGCCAGCTGGTCATGTAAGTGTTTCGTTACACACACTGGTCATATCTGACTCCATATCAGCAGTCTCCCAATTCATAGACAGGAAACAGTTTAGTTGTCCTACTGTTCCTCTTGCAGGACAGCCTACATAACACCCTGTATGATGCGTAGGGCCAGGACACAACTGTGTTGTTCTAATCCTTACTGTGAGTGGTGTTGTGTTTCATTTTCATCTGTTTCCACGTCAAAGCTCTTCACTGTGCTCATTGTGCATCACTTTCCTCATCACTATTATCCACCTTCTGACTGCCCTCCTCATCACTGACCTCCTCCTCCTCACTGTCCTCTTCATCACTACACTCTTCATCCTCCCTTCCTCCTCCTCATGGCCCCCTCTAGGAAGAGACAGGTCTGTGCAGCAGTGTTGACAGACAGGAGCCGTGCGGTTCAGTGCCAGTTCAGCTGGATTGATGATGATGCTGTCTGTGTGCTGCCAGGTACAAGCTGTCCACGAGGCCCTTGTACAAAGAGGAGCAGAAGGCCGTGTCTTTTCTGGAGTGGCGCTGCTGTCCAGGACATGGTGGGCATGAGTGTGAGGACACAGGTACAACTCCGTCTCTCTCAGCAGCTTACCGTACAGCAGGGGACTGTCATCAAACATTAACATAGCACTTTATTTTACAATGATCCAGCACTCGGACACCAGTGGTCTCCATCACTACCTGTAGTTCTTGTACGACTAATGCAACAAAATATTTTGTTCAGTTAAGTAATGGAAAACCAGGACATTATGTCTCACTTTAGGACATGCAAAGGCTGAAATTCCTGTTTTATAAAACTGTTCAATGGAATTTGTATTGGTGCAAACTATTGTCAACCAGGAAGAGTCAGGTTCTACAATAAGTGATTTGTTGTTAATAATTGTTGTAAATATTAATGTTAATAAAGCATTAATAATTGCTTACCCTTATATAGCACTTTTCTGGACACTCCACTTAAAGCGCTTTACAGCTAATGGGGACAGGTAATAGCCCAGAGTTTGCAGGTCACAAGTTTTTTGTTAGCTGAGGAGTGGTGAGGAACTACTTGAGGCAGGCAGAGACTGTTTTCATTACTGCAATAGTAATAATTATTAATAATAATAATTCCTTACACTTATATAGTTATTTATTATTCATTATAAGGTTGCTGCTGGAAGAGGTGTTAGTGAGGCCAGCAGGGGGTGCTCACCATGCAGTCTGTGTGGGTCCTAATGCCCCAGCACAGTGATGGAGACACTATACTGTAAAAAGGTGCTGTCCTTTGCACGAGACGTAAAATCGAGGTCCTGACTTTCTGCAGTCATTAAAAACCCCAGGGCCTTGCTCTAAAAGAGTACGGGTGTTAACCCAGTGTCCTGGCCACATTTTCCCACTGGCTTTTACCAGTCATGGCTTCCTAATATCCCAAACTATGACCTGGATTCATCCCTCTGTTCTCCTCCCCACTGATAGCTGTGTGGCAAGTGTACTGGCGCACTATGGCTGCTGTTGCATCATCCAGGTGGAGCTACATATTGGTGGTGGTGGAGGGGATCCCCATTACTTGTAAAAGCACTTTGAGTGAAGTGTCCAGAAAAGTGCTATTTAAGTGTAAGAAATTATTATTATTAATCATACTGTCAACACTGTCAACGTGGGCCTGCTCACTCAGGAGCTTGGAGTCTATGGGCAGTCACTGATCAAGACAAAATGGAAATTGGAGTAAATGTGACGACACAATGAGGGTATTTCCCTGCCAGACGTTTGTCTATAAATAACACATTTCTATACTGTGTGGAAGACTTGCAGTCTGCAATGTTTTCTGTGACCATAAATAACTAGAGTCCGAGGTATTTTGGGGGCTCTGTTTGAATTCATTGCTCTCTCTCTATTGCAGTTCCAGATGTCACTCATGCCTCACATCCCAGAGATCAGACAACAGGAAGCAAACTGCCGGACATTGATGATGCTCGAATCCCAGGTACTTCTGCTTGTTGAACTTCTTGTTTATCTCTGCAGGGCAGGGGTCCGCCAGCCCCCAGCCCTCCTTCCAACAAACAGAGGAAGTGCAGAGCCTGGGGGAAGGGCTTTGAGAAGACTGGCTGATTGTGTGAAGGCCCTATATATAGGGCAAAGGAAAGGGTGTGCAGCCTGTTCCCAGGGCTGCTATGGAGGCACAATGGGGCTGAAAGGAAGTGCCTGCCTGATGTACACATGCAGCCACAACAGAAACTGACATGTAAGAGCTTCAGACACAACAGAAAGAACTGGGTGTTCCTCTATGTTGTAAAAAAACTTGAGCACTTTAAGTGAAAGATTCTCAGGCAGCGCAAAAAGACATTCCCTACATCTTGCTCCTCTTCCCATAGTGCTGCACCGTTATACTGAGCAACTGAACACAGTGCGCCAAACTACTGAACACATCAGTGTAGCACAAACACTGTGCTACTGAACATACTACAGCCCAGCACACTGACACTGTGCTACTGAACAGATCACAGCCCAGGGTTTGTGGCTACGTTTCCCTTGTACCTTCATGTTTATCTACAGGTGTTCAGGAAGCTCCACAGATGACTGGGGATCCAAACTCTGAACAGAACGATGTTCAGCTTCCTATCACACAGCTGCAAGATGTGCACCGACCACAAAGAGAAAACAGCACTGTCATAGACTCCTCACACCACAACAAAACCGGTACGCCATCTGACAAATACATGTGCATCTGAAATCACATGCAGCAAAAATCTATTCATTTGAATTTTTTAATCATTGTTTAATAACAAAAATTGTTATTATATGAACAGGTAAAGGTTTGTTCCATGCTGAAAGGTAAAGAAAAGAAAGTTTTTGCTGTGGAGCCTCCTTCAGGTGTGAGGGAGAAACAGAAAGTAGCATAGGAAAAGGAAAGGAAAACGAAATTTGCTTTCCACACCTTTTCTCCTTTTCTCCATGAGCTTAGACACTCATTCTCACCCGTTGTATGTCCATGATATTGGACCCATGCTCATGTCCTCGCTGCTCCCCTTCTTACCTGCTCTGCCTTTTGTTCTCCTATGACTTCATTGCTACTTTCCCTCGCTCCCTCACACCAGAAAAAGGCTCCACGTCCGAAACTTTTTTACCTTTCAGCATGTCATAAACCTTTACATGTTCCTTTGCAGCCTACAGATGCTGATGCAGCTACCTACTTGAAGTGGTATACTTCTGTATAGCTCATTCCAGTGGTGTACTATAAAAGAACAAATTAAACTTTAATGTAAGAGTAAGTGTCATGGCAAACTGGATCCTGGCGACAAGCCTGGGGTAGAAGGAGCAAGTGCACCCTGGCCGGAGTGAATGGCAGGGCACCCATACATTCACACTCACAGACAATTCTAAGAGGTGGGAGGAAACCGGAGCACCTGGAGGAATCCCAAGTGAACATGGAGCCCAAGCCCAGAATCAAACCAGTACCCTGAATTACAGAGCAGTTACAGCACTAACAATCAGCTGTCTACTGTACATCCTGTAAGAATGATGTAAGCAAACATCGCAACCCCAGATGTGCTGCTCCTGAGGAGCCTGCATCAGTGTGTCACAGGGTAAGATGTGCTTCACATCTCAGGAAATCCTTTCTTTCTCTCCTGGAAGAGCAGTTGGAAATATTATGACACAATCACCACAGTTCTGACACAGCAGCCCCTTTTGCAGCCTACATCAGGCTGGAGAAGAACCAGCAGCTGCTGCTTAAAAAAGATCATTCTTCAGTCATATTGCTGTATAAAAACTAAGCAGTGCAGAAAATCCATTTTCCATTTCACTGTAGTCAAGATTAAATTGATCAAGCCTACGGCACTCCATCATCCTTGCTGTCTCGCAGAGCCATTCCTCTGGCTTTTTCTGAACTGGAAGTGCAAGACTCCACCCAGATGCGAGACTGGTGCAGGTAACCCTCATGTGCACTACCATGTGGCCACACTCATGAGCTCATGTAGCCTGTCTGTGGAGCTGTGGCTGAAACCTGTCAGTCAACATCCCTGCACCACTGCTGTGTCCCTGGAGTGTCAGCCATAGCCACGACAAAAATGCAGATGATTACATAAGCTTATATCCCTTTGAGTTACTGCAATCTCCTGAATATTACTTCCGTTACCAAACAGCTAAGGTACACAAAAGCTTTCATGAAAGGCTAATGGTGTCTTGCGCCACAGAGAAAACATGCCCACCAGGGGACAAGAGAGTTGCTGTCCGAGTTGGCGGCCTCTGCTGCAGTGGAGAGAAAGCAGAGAGCACACGTCCCACAGCCAAGGGATCTAGTTACAGTCGGATTGCTTTCCTCTCTCCCCGAGCAGGGCAAGGAAAACCCAATGCTCCCTTATGGGAAGGAGCTGGGTCTCACAAGAGCAGCAACAACCTGGATGCAGTGGCATATCCAGTTATGAAATATGAAATGAACATGCATTGTGCCTCTGCTTAAAGGAGACAACGAAAAGAGGATGATGGAAGAAATTATATTCCCAATTAGATACGCAAACAGTTTTAGGATTAAAAGCTTTATTGTGCTGAGTAACAGAGTATTGCCATATCTACCTGAGCACATACAGTATATTATCAGCAGTAAGATGGGCTACCCCCAGCTGCTCCAGCCAGCCCAGGAGTGTCAACAGATACTCAAAAGGTATTGTCCTTCTGTTCAACTAGAGGGATACCAGACTCCAACCCTAAAAACTGTTTGTTTGTGACTGAAGCACATGTTAGCTCTAAGCCTGTGGAGTGTGGCTCTCCCTTGCAGTGCCTGTGGGTGTTTCTCCAGTCTCTCCATCCCCCCCAGACTGGCTCGGGATGCTGCCCCTTCCCCAGCTGACAGCCCTGCTGATGGCACAACTGCAGCCCATTCTGGACGGCTTCAACTCGAGCCTACAGCGCCTCTCCCAGGACATGGCAGAGCTGCGGCAGGAGAGGGGGGGGGCAGGCGGCTTCGAGTCCAAGTTGGAGGAGAGCTTCAACCAGATCGACCAGCTGAGAGAGCAGCTGAGATCTAGCCAGGACATCCTGGAGCAGCAGCGGCACTCCCAGCAGGCCTTGCTGCACTACAACCTTACCACTATGAAGATGGACACTGACGCCAAGATCAAACGCAGCCAGAAGACATTGCAGGTGAGGACAGATGAGACCTCCACGCTTCCAGAATGAATTATTTAACCATTGCTGACAAAGCATGCAATCTATTTTCTAGACGTAAAACAGACAAATTGAGATGTTAATCGAGAGGAGATAAAACAATTGTAATTGACAACGAACAGATGAAGTGTGTAGAATTACAGTTCTGTCAGCCACAAACCTGTATATCTGTACATTCAAAACTGACATGGTTAATCCTACTGAAACAGAAATACAAAAGTGTAACCAAACTCTTTGCAAAACTATATCACCATATGTAAAGATGCTCATGAGGAGTCCTGTAATCCATAACACATGCAAAACAGATTACTAATGCAGCACACTTTCAGGAGAAGCTTGTCTAGGCTTGTCATTTAAGAATCTTTAACTCACATTGATGAGAATTTCAGAAAAACCTGATAGCTCAAGGTAAACTGCACAAGTAGCCCAAAGTGACATGTTTCACATTTTACAATATCAAGACTAACAGAGGCAAGTGTCCTGTACTCCTCACTATTAACATTGTTCATTCCTCTCTACACATCCAGACAGAAGATTTTTTTTGTAGTGCAAAACACATCGGGGCTGTTTGATTAAATTAACACAAAATGGCTATAGTTTCTCCACAAAGAAGAAAAACTGAAAACATGAGAACGATTTTATGTGTCTAAGACTTCTGCAGAGCTCCTTGAAAGACGTTGCATTTGGGTTGCTTCCTCTCCAATACTGATTTCACAACAAGCCTTAAAGAGCACCTGATCAAAAAGCTGGTCTTGAGTTTTTTCAGATTTTTTTTAATGAAAGTTACATTGTTAAAGATCTGAAATAAACATGTTTTGGTGAACTCATTTAGAACCTCAACATTCAAATACATAACCATCTACTGTATATGGTTACAAGCTGCATCATGGCTTTATTAGAACACTCACGCTGTCGCTCTCATGTAGGACAAAGACTTATCACACCTGCTTTCTTTGTGTTACCTGGAAGGTCAACTTGCAGGCACTCAACGCCTCCATTGCAGAGGTGAAGCGAGAGCAGGAGAGTCTGGGGCAGGAGCCTGAGGGAAAGGAAGTGGAGCCTGATGTTTGGGAAGCCATCAGAGAGCTGAACCAGACAGTAGTTGAGAACACAGAGGTGGTCAGCAATCTCCAGGAGGACCAAGAGCTCTCTGAAGTCAACATGAAGGACCTCCAGAGGGGCTTCCGGAGTCTGAAAGACCAATTTGAAGAAACTGTCAAAGACCTGAGGGTCATGTTCATGGAAACTGGCCTCATCGTGGCTGAAGCTAAGCAGGATGTGCTCAATCGCGTGAATGAGCTGGCCCAGAACTGCACTGAGTACGAAAACCAGTTGGAGAGCATGGAGAGCGACATCGACTACCTTTTTGTCCAGATTTACAAGAACACATCCCAGGGCTGTGACTGTGCTAGGCTGCAAACAGAGATCTCCGCACTGGAACACAATTTAAAGCACATCACAAATCTGGCCAAGGAGAAAAATGTAGCTCTGGAAGAAGATGGGGAAATGCAGGAGGTCTGGAGGGCTAAGTGGAGCAGTTTGGTAGAGGACCTTCAACAGGGCCTGCAGCAAGTTCAACACTCTGTGGCCTTTGAGCAAGACAGAAGCAGGTCTCTGCTCCTTAACATCTCCCAACTACATGTGACCTTCCGGAAGATCCACCAGGAGCTCACCAGCCTGCAGGAGACAGACAATCAAAGGGTGAGTGAGACCAAACGCCTCTCCAGCTCTTTTGGGTCACTCTTGAAGGATGCGGTTAGACATACAGACGTCCTGGAGCTCCTCCTGGGGATGGAGGTCTTGGAGTTCATTAAAAAACCACCACAGGACACTGACAAGTACTCCTTTCCCGCTCTCCATGCAAAGCTGCGTGAAATGCAAGAGGAGATTCAGAGCCAGAACCTGAGTTTGTTAACTCTTAAGAAGATGTTAGAGAGCAAAGAGCAGGGAGACCCAGGCGCAGACACTGGAGCTGAACTGGCAGATCAGACAACCAGAGGCCTAGCAAGAAGGAGTGGGGACCACAGGCCATCAGATCTCCCAGAGTCCCCTATGCGAGACCGTCCTGATGATTCTGGTAGTGACCCTTGGGCCCTGGAGAAGCTGGTGCAAGTCCTGGGTGGCCGGGTCAGCACATTAGAGAAGCAGCAGTGCCTCTCTTGCTGCGACTGCGCTGAAAATACTGCCCCCACTGGCAAGGTGGGAGAACTGCAGGCGGCTGTGGATTCACTTCGTGGACACCTGAAGGATCATGTCCAGGTCTTCCACAGCATCTTTCGGAATGCTGAGGGACTTGCTGCCTCCAACTCCACACTGGACCTGGACAGACTATGGGGGTTAGTAAAGAGGAAAGAGAAAAAGAGAAAGAGGGGGCGCCACCAGGAGAGAGAAGAAGAGGATCCACACAGGGGCCACAGAGGAGGCAGAGCCCCCTTGATCCGCAGCAAGAAGGATGCGGCCCTGGAACCCCCAGGTAACCTGCAGTTAGCCTAAAAACACTTTCAAATGTTTTTCTCATACAGCAACAGTCGCAAATCCCCAGTAATAGTATGGAGGGCAATACATATTAAGTTAAAATTAATGGCATAAAAGTGTATAAATTAGATTAACTTATGTCGATGTTGTCATTAGGTTTACATTGAAATCTCACATCACTGTCTTTTTAAACATGGAATAGCCATATGTTGCACTGAAATTATCCTGATGCTTTAAAAGCTGACGCAAAACATTAGGCTTCCATGGTTATGAAACTTTCCTTTTGAACCCATTTTTAAGACAAAATCGCCCTCTGGTGGACAAGTTGATATCAACCAGGTTTATCTTTCTTTTATTGCCAAAATACAAATCCTTTTAAGAGCATTTACATCATGATTTAATCCTTCTCTTCTCATTTTCAAGAGATGCTCTCTTAACCTTCAAGTAAATTCTGAGATGAACATCTTTGAAATGTATCATTTAAAATTAACTGAGGCTACATAATCAGGAAAACAATTTACAAATAAATGTGATGTTCCACGTTAGCCTTATTTTTAAATGGAAAGATATGGGCATTCAAGCTAACGCATGCATGCATGAGAATTAAGAACTAGCTGACTTTGCATAACAGGGGTACAGGTCAGAGAAGCCCTAAACGGAGGTGTCCACATCAGGGTTACACTAAAGCCATGATGAGACAGGACAAATCAGAGCAAACAGTATGCTAAACGCCAGTGGGAAACTTGATCGGGAAATGGAAGAATGTCAGGCTGTCAGTACCCAGTAAAGAATAGTCCTCACAGTGCCGGACTGATCTGGGGCAATAGCAAAGAGGTCTGATTGCCTAGAAAAAGAAACTATACATTCAAAAACCTACCTTGTAAATTGGCAGATGTGCCACAAGAAGGGCAAATCAACGTAGCACTATACTCAACAGAGCAGCATTTCCACACCCCAGGGAAGCAACACTGCTAACCTGCACAGTCCTCAGCATCACACCACTGGGATACGGGATTGTAGCCCCATGGTTCGGCAACATCCCCAGGCTCCCTGGTACCAGCAGGAGAGCAGCCTGTGCCGCGTATGAGTGGGTTAAGATCAGTGCTGGTGGGTTTGTCCTAACTGTGCTCCTCTCCTCAGGGATCCTGCGGCCAGTGCCCGAGTCGCCTGTGATGTTCCTTGCTGGAACCCAGGATGGCACCAACCAGGCAGGCGCGGTGCTGTTCGAGAGGGTGGTGCTGAACCGTGGGCAGGCCTACTCGCCCAGGACAGGGGTGTTCTGGGTGCCCGCTGACGGGGTGTACCTCTTTGTGGTGACTGTTGACTTCGGAGTGGGTGCTTCATTGGGTCACCTGAAGAAGGGGGATGTGGTTGTGGCCACCTTGCACCAGAACCAGAAGAGACCAGCTGGGCCCATGACCCGAGTGTGCCTTCTTGAGCTGGCCCTGGGAGAGCAGGTCAACTTTGAGCTCGTTCAGGGGTCTGTGGAGAACAACCACCAGGTGGACAACACGTTTGGGGGATTTCTTCTTTTTAGAACAACTTGACGTGCTCGGCTAGTCAAGACTTGCACAGGACAGAAGCATCTGCACACTTAAATTCCGTGTTTAAGCCAATCCAAGGATGCCAAGCTAGCTCCAGAATAACATTGTACCACAAAAAGGGTATCTGGCAGAATGTATCCATTGCTGTGAACTGTATGGGAAGCAACTGTTATGCTACAACTCTTCCATGAAACTTTGTCATGAAACAAGGTATGAATTGGGAGCTGTATCAGCATGTCTTGGCTACAAAGGAGCAAGCAGAGGTTAATTCCAGGCTGAAAAGTAAGGAGAAGAAACATTTTAGTAGTGGAGCCGTCTTCAGGTGTGTGAAGGCTTGAAGGTGTGAAGACCTGAAGATGACTCACCAAATGTTGCTTCTTCCTGCTTTTCAGCCTGGAATGAATCTTTCCTTGTTCTTAAATTAAACATCTGTTTAAACATTCTAAACATTTATCTTAAACTCTATCTCATTTATCAGATTTTATTTTGAAGGAGCAGAGATACTTCTACATTGTTAAAATAGAAGCTTCCAGAGGTAGTCTTGGTTTGTCTTTTCTGTGTGAAATGCTCCCATAAGGCATTCACATCCTAACTGCTTCATCTAATTCAGGGTCACGGGGAAGCTGGAGCCTATCCCAGCAAGTTATGGGTGCAAGATGGGGTGCAATATAATTCAAAATCAATGTGTTTTTTCTTTTTCTCCATACAACCTACCAGAAATATTCATCACAAAATTGAAGGAACTACTATAAAGAATAGACAAAATCCTTTCTTTTAGCCCAGACAATGCATTCTATCTACTTTGTCCCATAAAAATATTTTAAAAAACTTTGCTGGTCTGGCAGAGATTCCTGTACAGATTCTGCATTCTGCCAAATCCTTATCCATTTAACATATCGAGAGCTGCTTTTAGTCCAGTAAGTACACTGGGCTCCTGCAAAACAATGGACTTATTTTCTTGTGCTTGAATAATTAATTGACTCCAAACTTTCAAATGCTTATTGTTAGGTAACTAGTATAAATGGAGAAATTTGTATGTGGTATATGATGGCGAAAAAATAATTGAATACACTCAGTCCCGCAGGCAGGGCTTATACTGTTTCGCATGCACTACCACTTCTGGGCAGAAGAGGGAGCTGTATACTTAACGCTTACAGTTGCACAAAGTAAAGGCTTGCTTTGTCTAAACAAATAAATAGAGATCTATATCATTTTACATCTTGTGTGCTAATTCATTGGTAGGGAGGATTCCTGTTGCACAAGGACTCAGTTATTTCAGTGTGAAGAGTACAGTAAACAAGAATCTATTTCTGCACATCTGGGAATATTGCACCCTCCATCTATTGCTTCAGCTACCAGCGAAAGTAAAGGCGGCTTATCATCGAATGGATGAATACAAGCCTGCAGACAGTTTGTTCACTGAACAGTTATGGCTGTGAAATGACAATAGTAAAATGTTCATGAAGCTAAAATCTAGAATTTCTAAAATTGCTTACAATTGCACTGTGGATATTTGAGGTGTTACTCAAAGGTGGTACTTGCAGCTTTTCACATATTCCCCCCCCCCATTTTAACTTGTAAATCGAACAGAAAAATATATTTTAACCTAAAAGCAAGTAGACTGAAATAAAAAAACAAGACAATAGTGTTGTGTACTAAAATAAGGATATTTACTTAAAAATTAATACATTGGACATAGTCTGTGTACAGAACATAGTTCTTCCAAAGTTTTCCTTGGTAAACTCGATAAGGCACCTTTTAAAACCAGATGCTTTACAAAATACACATAAGAGTTACATTTTAGAGGTTAATCTATATGGTTTTCTTGCATAATATAGGCAGACAGAAAATGGTTACTGCTCAGATGTACCGTACCCATCTTTCTATAACTATGTACAGATTTGCTAAATTAACTAAATAACTTTTTAGAGATATATTTACTTAACCAATTGGCAAGGGTTTTGACAAACTGGATCTATAGCTTCCACAGAATTTTAAGTCATTGGGACAGACATGACAAAGGCTAGAGTGCATGTTTTTGGTTGTGATGGGTGAACACAAGCCTCAACCCACATTAGACCCGACATACAACATAGGGACTAAGTGGAATTACATCTAAAAGCTCAGTCTGACATCTCCACATTTTAAGGCATGATGCAAGCTTGAGGGTTTACATTTTCAGCCCATTTCTGAATTCCTTATTCAACTAGGACCATTATCCAAGAATGTTGTTTGATTTGTTAATCAGATCAGCCCCGAAAAAGCTCTGCCACACAAAACACTAATAAATGACACACACAAACAAAAATTTCTGTGCAGACTCTTGGGCCTCTGTGTAGGTTGGAGAAATCAACCTGTACCCAAACTGTTTCTGGGAGTTGGTTCTGCAAATTTTGACTTGAGTGTATTTGGTGGTTAGAACAGGGATTTTCAACAGGTTGGGCGTGCCTGGGCGGGGGGGAGGAGGGGGGTGAAGGTGCGGGCGCGAGATTAGAGACATTTAGGCGCAAACACGCAAGCAAAATTAAAAAATTCAACAACTGCAGCGAATATGTTGTTTTAGTGGTTAATATCAATTCATTATTCCTCCACTAGAGGGGGGTGTTGCATCTTATACCATCTATTCTCATTGGCGAAGGCTACAGCAGAATTGAGACTTCGCATTATACCACGATTACAAACTTCAAAATGGTCCGGTGGCTTAAAGTTAACAACAGTGGTGAACGTGAAACTGTTAAGGCAAATTAATGAAAGGCGCTGAAATGCATGTATACACTGTGAATGTTACGAGTGTTCGCATTGTTTTCTCAATATGTTTTGGGGTGGGAGGGCGCAAGTTTAAACTTAGACAAACAGTGGGGGGTATGTCAAAAAGGTTGAAAACCTCTGGTTTAGAGTACATGGATGCAGAGGGCTGACAACAACTTCACTCATTCATATCTGTCTTTTCTATTTCTGTTGTTAAACTGTACCAACTTCCTCTTTTCTTCACCAACAGCAAAGCACCCAGACCACTTTCTTTCTAGCAGAAGCACCAGTTACAGTATAACAGACTGATAAAACAGTATAGTTCTCAGTAGGTCTTTTTCAGAACCAGTGTACCTCCACTTTCAAAGACAAAACAAAGAAAAAAATTAGCTATCATAAAATATAGGCAGTGAGAGTTTAGTTGGTATTTTCTATTATGTTGGTTGAAATCGAACAGCTTTGCTAGATATATCACCCTAGCAACACATCTGCCTGGTACAGGTGTGCAGGTGATTTCTCCACTTGATCCATCAATTACAATAGGTTAAGCACACATTGGCACAGGTTAACATCATAAGCATTGTTTCCAACATAGGTAGCATTAAAAAGCCTACACAGTCAGCTCAGGTCTGCACAAAGCATAATATGAACTCTAGGTCAGAAAGGCTTTTCTGTTTCTGACCTGCACTGGATAGCTCTTCCCAAAGACCATTTCATCCTCTTTGGCTCCTTCACACACAACTACAGGGCTACTGTGAGAGAACATTGGTTGCAGAATAAAACAACCAATTTGTGCAATATTCCTTTCTTCTGCTAATAAATTACAATTGTGTATGTTGGCAATTTTCTAATGCAGTGGTGTGGTGAACCCCACTTAATTCTAAAAATTCTCAACATGGAAATAGGCAATATGTTCAACTCAAATGTGTATGCTGTCTTTTTGACCCTTGTTGTTGTTATTTTAGGGTCTTGTAATTCAGATGTTTCAGGCTCAGGTGCCTTGGGCCATAGCCTTGGGATAGTGCCTAGTCAGCACTAACTTACACTGAGCAGAGGATGGAGGGGAAAAAAACTGGTCAACTGTTCCAGGGCACAGAGCAGAAAGGGTGCCCCAGTATAGGCCAAAAACAGAGATTCTAAAAAGATTACTTGGCAACTGCGGTCAGTTAAAACGTTACAAATGTAAATAGTTCACTGATATCTCCAAAAACATTTTACAATGTATGCATCTTTAATGATGGACACCAGAAAAAGAAAAACCATGCAGAGGGACCCTAGCAACCATGCTGTAGTCTGGCTCCACCTCCATCAACAGGCTTTATCTAATGCAAGGGAAGAAGAATAGACTTAACCTTCTTCACTCTTTATCAACTGCACTGAAGGACTTGAAAAGTTTGTCTTCTTGAAAAATGTCTTTTGAGATGCCAATGAATGCCCTCTGTATCAGCAACAGTTTGGCATTCCCTGGAAGGCAATAAGCTTATGGCAAAGCTTGTCAGCACAATGTACATCCATTAAATCTTCATTATCAGTTATTATAATTCACACATTTTAAAAAACCAAACCTTACAGCATTTTACATAAAAGCAGATATGTTCTGACAAAGTATTAGAAATGAGTACTAATGTTCCACAGGTGGTGACAGCAGTACTGCTACAGGGAAGTATTCAGTGCTTCTACTGCCCTATTAACACTAGGCTGTTTAACTCTTTCTCAAATATCACAATCAAACCTTCAGACCAATGTCCCAAATTGAAGAAGTGAACTTTAAAATATGCTATTGCCACCGGTGGTGCTTGACAATTAACGGCTTCTCAATTTATAATGATGTACTGATGCAACATACGTCCACTGCACTGCAGGAAACTGGTGCCACCTAATCTGGAAGCACCATTAGAGAGGAACCCTGAAACCCTGAAAGGGTGGTATATAAATAATGATATTCAAAAACAGGTAATATGAATATTTGGTTTTGGTTTATAAACCATTTTAGTAACTAATTCCACTGGAAAACCAGTGCACACAAATTCTGTTTACCCTCAATCTTGCAGGAATGTAGAGTAGATTTCTATACATGTTCTTTCATGGCAAAAAATAACTTGTTATTACAGTATTTACAGAAAATTTAATTGGTTTTAAATCTAATGAATAAATAAGGATAAGACTGCACTATATACTACTGGGACTAAAGTTTTATTCATGTTGACCAGTAATGCTACCTTCATATTGCACAAATACCACATGTACTTTTATGCCTTGTCATAATAAACAGACCCTCACATCCCTATTTACTTACATATTCCTATTGTGACTCGGCATTAAATAATCCAAACTTAAATACTGTTCAATATATGGCTATATGTTAAAAATAAATTTGACCCTCGGGAGAAAAATGTCTGTGGAAAAACCTAAGCCACTGCACTTTATCACACCCTGCAGTTATACATGACCTTTGTATAAATAACATCATGTGAACCTGGATGACTATCGGATGACTGTGAATACGGTGAAGCTATTCAACTAAAAGCAAGTGGAATAGTTAAAAAAATGGTGAAACCAAACCATGAAAACAAATGGGAAAACCTGAGGAGTAAGCACAGAAGCATCCATTCACCTTAACTTAGCAGGTCTAAACTGTTTCCACACTACATTTAAATAAAATGTATACATTGCAAAAAATGCGAGTTTTGGCTTTAATCCCTCTCCCCTACAATGTACAATGCTGTGCAAGTCTTAAAGAGTTGCAGTAGAGTATGTTATGAATATCAACTGCTTATTAAATGTTAATAAAAAATTTCTGCTAATCTGACAAATGACTTTTCATCATAGCCTGGGTGAGAAGAAACCAAGTTTGCTGTTTAGCAATCATTAATTCACACTGCTGAGTATCTTCAAAGACTTCAGCACAGCGATGTATGCCCACCCAAAACTACATAGGTACAACAAACAGGCATCAAATACTGTGAAAGGTAAAGACAAGTTTTAAAAATCCATTTGCCTACGGTTAACATTAAAGTACAATTTAGAGGCTTTCTGCATGGACAGTTCTGATAACAAAGTGACAAAGATTTCAGGTAAATCACAGCATCATTTAAACAAAAGGCATTATTTCAAAACCAAAGCTGTTTTACCCTTTTCCATAGAAAAAGGCTGCTTTTCACCCAAAAATAATAATTTCTCCAGCGATGGTCTGGATTGCCAAAACTCACTGAAAAACAGCTGGACATCCTCAAGTATGCAGCATACAGCTAATCTTTATATAGGCACAGCATCCATAGTTTCATGGTTTATTTACATTTTAAATACAAACCAATTCCTGTAGCCTTCTTATATAATTTGTATTTACTTAAAACATGTCAGAAATATATTTTTAAATGGCAGGAAAAAAAACTGTCCTGGCACAAACAAATTAGCTTGAGCGTAAACAGGTGAAAATATAAAACTGGTGGGGCAGCTCTCTGTAACTTGCAGCTTCCATCAAGCGGGCCTCATGACGTTTCGCTTTCTTCATACCCATAACCTGCAGATTATGCACTGCCTTTGAAATAACACAGGGCTTTCACAGAAAGCACAATTCCCGGCAGTTCCTACCTATCCCCAGAGTGTCCGTAGTTGGAGAGAGAGAAGAGCCCATGAAGATTTCGACACACCCTTTCAGCACTGGACTCTGTTACAGCCTGGGCCGACTGTTACAGCCTCATGGCTCTGGCAGGAGCTGCCTATCTACAAGCAGTCTTTTTGTCCAAGTATTTCAGCAGCCTGTTCTGAGAAGGCAGTGGAATTGAAAACGATTGGTTTGGTGGGGTCATCGATTTCTCTCCTGCCCCTCGCCTTTGCATGCCTTTAAGCCAGTCTCCCCTCTCCTTTTCTGAGGCAGGGCAATAATTTGTAACCGGAACAAGAAAGCTTATCGAGTCTTCTCTCTAAATTAGCTTGCTTTAAAGAGGAGTCCTCATATTTTGATGTCCTGAGATTCCACCATTTTGGCAAGGGTCTTCTTAACTCGCAGCGCAGTGAGGCGGGAGGGGGGGTTGTGAGCCCAGCACTCGGACATCAGCTTCAACATTGCTCTCAAGCACTGAGGAGAGAGAATCAGTTTACAGCCAATAAGTCTTGATCCAGCTCAGGCTGATTCAATTTTACAAATCACAGTCACACTGAGATGACCTAATGTACTCTGCTGTAGATAAAGGAAATATTAAAATCATCTTTCAAAAATGAGGAATAAACAGTGTTCTTCCACTCAGTTCTGTTGTTCACAGACTGAAATGCAGACAATCAGTATTTTTAACTATATGTGACCTGCTCTCCCCAAAATATGTTTAAGATTATGGTCCAGTTTCTTTATATGGCAAATGTCTCTGCCAATATCCGATTAACAGAGGATAACGTAGTAAAGCAATGATTAAGAAAAACAAGCAACATTACCACCTGTACAAATGAACAGATGAAACTGTAACATCTCTAATGTTACAAAACAGGCTGAAGTCAAGCTAAGCAAGGCAGAGAACGTACCTCGTCGCTGTTCCACCGGTTGGACACTGCAGGTCGCAAGCACTTGACACACACCACCTCCCTCATGTCCTCGTAGGACGGATCAGCTGACACCATGTCATAGTAAGGCAGCTGGTACTCCTCCACAATACCTGCACAACAAAAAAAACAGCTTGGCCTCTAGGAGCAACGAGCAGTGAGGAAATGGACAGAAACTACTTCCAGTCAGACCGGTAGTACCCGGTGCCTGCACACTTACCTCCTGTGACACACCGCCGTGCCATTTCCCAGATGATCAGCCCGTAGCTGTAGATGTCTGCCATAATGTAGGACTGGAAGTGGTTCTTATTCAGGGTCTCATCCAGGACCTCTGGAGCCATGTACCGCTTTGTTCCAACACGGGTGTTTAGAGGGATGTCCACCTCATTTGTGTCACTGCAGCAAGGAAAAGGAGGCCATCATACAGCACAAACTATGTTTCTGCTGGTGTTTTCTGTTAATTCCTTAACCACACAGGAAACACTAGCATTTTTAAATGAGACAATTATTCGACTTAAAAAACACCACCACATTTCTGTAGACTCAAATACTCCAGACAAGGCTTTACAGACGCTAACACTGATCTTCAACCCTGGTGCTAGAGAGCCCCTGTCCAATTAGTTTTATATATAGGTCACACGTTTTGTAAATATCAGCAACATCTGTGAGCTACTGATGAACGCAGCAAGAGATCTGTTCAATTTGACAAAACAAAGCTCTGGGTTCCAACATACCTATTGAACTTAACAGCCAGACCCAGGTCAGCGATGCAGCAGGTGCCGTTCTTCTTCATGAGGATGTTCTTACTCTTGAGGTCTCTGTGAGCAATGGCAGGCTTGCCCTGTGTGCCACAGATCTCTGTGTGCAGGTGGCACAAACCACAGGCAGCAGAGTAGGCCAGCTTCAGGAGAGACTTGGTGTCCAGCGTGGTATATTTTAGGTAGTCGTACAGAGAACCGTTCTCATGGTAATCCGTAATCAGGAAAAGTTGGGTAAATGCACCAGAGCCCTTAATGTCAGCAGCTATAAAACCTGAAGTAAAGGAAGATGAACAGACACTAAACACTAGGGAACAACTGTGCTAACAGGATTTGATCCTGAACAAGAGTGTTCTGAATTAACATAGCACATAAGCTGAGCTCAGACTCAGCTCAAATTGTGATCTTTTTCTCAGGATGGATAACAGGCCAATTTTGCAGTCTCAGAAGAAGCTTCATTTTTAAGTCTTAGATCAATGGACAAGGGATCAGTTCGACTTTTATCACCTGCACCTTGCCCGACTCAAATATTACCATCTGCTGGTTTGAGTATAAAGCATTATTTTATTCACTAAAAATGTTTAGTGACAACAGCCGATTCATTACAGCTGGTCTGAGTGAAAGAAAAAAAATGCTAGCAACAAACTTTATGGCTCATTACAACATTGTAAAGAAATAAAAATGTTATTTGCCTAAGTGTTCATTCCTTCCACAGCTATTACTTTCAAGTCTGATTTTTTTTGTCCAGCTCATGTATCCAATAATATTTACCACTGTGAAGAAGCATCAAAGGGAAATAAATTAACCAACCTAAAATGTTTTCATGCCTCATGAGGACAGTCTGGTAGATCTCGGTCTCTCTGAACCAGCTGGCCTCCTCTCTGGAGAAGAACACCTTGACCGCTACCTTCTCCCCCCGCCAGCGGCCCAGCCACACCTCCCCGTAGCGCCCCTTTCCGATCTGACGCGACATCTGGATCTGCTTGGCAATCGTGCGTTGCACCTACAAGGGGTGCCACAACATGTCTCAGCCACTGGCTTCCATACATATTAAAATTTACAATTCCATTCTCTTTTGAATTTATTTTTCAGTTTTAAAAAACATTAAAAAAATTAAGCACTATCACACTATCATTAAACATGGTTGACCAAACTTGACAAACACATTAATCTTACCAGCAGTGGCAGTCCTGAACCACTGCCAGAGCTCTGAGATTGGTCAATCAGATCCTTGAGAGACTCTCCCACAGGAATAAAGGCTTCATCTTGCTCCAGGTCTCTGTTGTAGCGCCGCCTCTCTGTCTGCCACTTGTACCTGATAGCCAAACACAAGCCAACAGCAAAAAATTACATTTCTGTCCTAAGTTGTTTGATAGAAAGGACAACTTTTTTACTGATTAAGTTCAAGTTCACTAGCCTTACAACAGGCAATTTCTCACATTTCATTAGAAATGCATGTTGTATGACTGAAGCACTTATTTAAAAGAAAAGAACAAATGAAAGAACAAACAAGTCAAATCACTGTCAAAATACAAATAGTAAATCTCATTTCAAGTTTGTTTTTAAAAATGAACATGAAGAATTATCATATTGTGTTTCTTAAATTAAACTTCAAGAGTGAAATTCAAGGAATCTTACCTGTAGTAGCAGATGATGGTAATTGCAATAAGAGCACAGCAGCACACCGTCACCGAAATTAAAAAGGCAAGCCAGTGTGTGCTGCCAAAGAAGGGGCCTGTGTAATAAGAAAATGGTCAGGGCTTTCTTATTCAAACAGGTTCATGTTACCTGTGCAATACCTTTGGTGCTAATACAAAGTAACATTTTACATTAGGACTTTTTATGAGTGTGTTTTGGAAAGAGCTATGACAAAACATGGTCTGAAGAAACACTGCTCTTCACCTTTATCAATGACAGGAGGCAATGTTGGCTGCAGGTCTCGATTGCAGAAGTCAGTCCGGCAGCACTCAATAGTACGTCTTGACTGAGCTCTTGGGGAATCCTGGAAAGGAAAAGAAGAGCCCTACTTTAAATTCCTGCATTACTCACATTTTCATCAAGGCCATTTTCTAGTTATTACAGTGTGAAACACCTGTTCCAGGATAAAAGAAGCATTCTCCTTAAAAGTAACTAATAAGATTTGTACAGTTTTTAGCTTTGAAATGCTAGATCAGACCTTTATATGTTTAATCTTCTACAGGTACGTTACCTTGCACTGGAAGTCTGAGCCTTCATACTTCATACAGCCAGAGGTCAGGATAGCCTCCCCGTGCTCATCCTCCTCTATGATGGCAAAACACTGGCCATTTGTCCTGCAATGCAAACACCAACACTTACAACAAAGAAGCCCAAAAAATGATTTATTAGTTAACACCTGCTAATAAAACCTCCCAGAAAGGCAGTCAGCTGTGAGTAGAGCAGTGCATGAGCCCCGCGGTCCTGTTTGGGTTGAGGACTCACTCGCAGGTGTTGTTCTTGGCATCCTCAGGACAGTGGCCTGAACAGTAGCAACTCAGGAAACGTGCCGCATCCTCAGGAGACACCGTCGACCCGTCCACTGCCTTCTTGGGATTGGAGCCAGGCTTGGCTCCTGTACCATGGAGCACATGGTCAGGATTGTGACCGCCTAGAGTGGAACAAGAACGGTGCTGAAATTAATGTTGAAACAAACCACTCATTGAGAGATAAGTCTGGCACATACAGAGTGTCAGAGCCCGAATGTAAATTCCCTTTGCCAGTGAAAAGCCCCAAGCAGAGCAAAATAAAAAAAAAACGTACAACTATTCCCGGTGTCATAATAGGAAGAGCAGGTGGATCTTACTAGGAATTGGAAAAATGGTCTAAAAACACCGAGGCCATCTACAAGAAGGATCAGAGCCGACTTTACTTCTTGAGGAGGCTCAGGTCCTTCAATGCATGTAGTAAGATGTTGATGTGTCATTTTCTGCGCTGTAGTATGCTGGGGCTCTGGGATTAGAGCAGGGGATGCTAACAGGCTGAACAAACTCATCAGAAGAGCAAGCTCTGTCACTGGGTCTGACCTGGACCCCCTGGAGGTGGTGGCTGAGAGGAGAATGGTGTCCAAAGAGGACATAGAGGCCATCATGAACAACATCTCCCATCCCCTCTATGACATGCTTGTGAGAATGAAGGGCATGTTGAGCAATAGGCTGATCCAACCACAGTGCAACAGGGAGTGCTACAGAAGGTCATTCTTACCTTCTGGCATAAGACTGTACAACACATCCACTTTGTGTCTGGGCAGGGGCAACATTGACATTCACCTGTTTTTAGACTAAACAGTAAACTCTCTGCTTACATCTGGTTTTTCCCATTTACAACTGTTTTTGTGCAATATTTATAATGTGCAATACAACTTTTTGTGTACTGTTCTGGTTTGTTCTTTGTACACTCTGGACTGTGAGTAAATCTTCTTAGTGCACTTCTCACAGACTGTATTGTATTATTTCGTTACACTGTGCTGTGTTGACTGTGTTAAGCTGCTTTTGCACTGCAATTTCCCTCCCGGGATCAATAAAGTAGTTATGAAGTTTTTCTAAAAAATGAAAGAGTCAGTATGAAAGTTTGAGGGGCAGCGATGTGTAATTTGCCCTCAGCATCCAACAAAGAATGACTCCTTAAGGGACTCTTCCACTGCTTGTGAGATCCCACATTTTAAATGAACAAACACTCAAGATTCTCAAGTTACTACCAAACATTCTTAAAAATCAATGGACTGGTTCATTAAATTTGTGTTTTCTCCTGAAGAAATATCACAACGATTGTGGCAGTTAAGTGGGAAATATCAAAAAAGGAGATGCTGTGTGAAGAGAAAATTTAAGTTAACTGAGGACAATTCAGTTACAGGCGATAACACTCTGTAGTTACAAGTAATAAAACAACATTTAAAGATGTCTACACAGTACTACTTGGTGGTGTGAAATCAGAAGGCAATCAGTTTAGTGATGGCAATATTTTGACAGGCCAAAGATGGCTGCTCTGATTCCTTTGGAGTGTTGGCAGCCATTTTGAGTTGAGCAGGCTGGGAGCACTGTGCCATAAAACGGCATTCCAGGCTGTAAAAATAGCTTAAAAAGTACTGCTGGAGTTGGTAAAAAAAACTTGACAGTGAACATCATGCTGCTATAGGTTGGGAGCACAGACACCTGTCAAATGGCACTTCAAACAGGACTAACAGAATTAAAGCAAGCCAATAAATACTCCAAATTTGCCAAGGCTCTCAGAAACCAACTCCTTAAAAATGTACCACTGCATCTCAGACAGTTGGGCTTCAAGAAATTACAGGTCAGCTCAACCCTGTAACTGAAACAAAGCCAATTCTGCCATAAATACATGACTCCTCAACAGTTTTTGAGGCTTCTTCAAAGCAGTTGTTCCTGAAGAGCTGGAAAGGTGGTAAATTGCCCTAGTTAAACCTCCACTATAAAATGACTGAGGGCACTTAATAAAGAGCCAAATGGGAATAAAAAATTGCAGGCCAGCCTCAAAGACTGGGGCTAGACCTCGGTAATGTAGCTCACCCAACCAAATATTGAATGGAAAGGAATCTAAGATAAATGATGGCAAAGGTGTGGTGTCAGCTTCTTGGTTAAAATAACAGTAGACACATTCATTTGTTAAATTCAAAAAGAACCAATAGAACAATAAAAGACAATTCTGCACAGAATAGCAGTCAGTAGTTCACGTGCTATCTTTCTTCAATGGAGCACAAAATGTGGCATTGGTTTAAAGTGAATGTTCTAAAAGTGCAAATTTATCTACAGAAAGTCAATACAAACAATAAGAAAACCTTTGCAGTTCATAGATGAGTGAAATGCACTGTAGCTGTTGGTCTTGCGCACATCTACATCAAACAAGCCATTGCTTCTTTCTCCACATACCAAACTAGCTAGGTAATAACTGGTAAACCTTTCATGCAAAACTATTCTTCTTCAAAATATCCTGGTGAGCTGTTGAACGTTACTTAGCTTTTGGTTTCATACAACACACTCATTCCAAACAGTCTAGAATCATAGTTGCACTCAACTAGTAGACTGACCCTTCCACACTATTTGCTATTTAGTTATTCTGTCTGGTAAGGTTTTTATCCAATAATCTGCGCTGCCACAGCTAGCTCAGTAATTTAATTATTCTGATCAAGACAACAATTAAGGTGTCAACTGTATTAAAGCACTGCAGCAAAGTGGAGCGGAAGACTTGTATGTTAAGTAGCCCTGTCACAGCCATCAAAGTTTTCTGTATGTCATCACACATGAGAGAAAGATATTGGGTTCAGTTATTCAGTACATTTTCTTACTGTTTTGTTTACAGCTGATATAAACTTAAGGACTAGCTGCACCTCATTCCTCCAGAATACTGTTCATCATGGCCTTATATTAGCCTTAAAGATGATCACACAGATAAGAGCCTCCTGGAAGATCAGTGTTGTGGATGCAGAAAAATTGTTTGGCTGCCTCCTTGCCCTTTGTTCATTCACTTTTATCAGTAGTGTCAATCAGAAAAAAAAATCAGATAGTGCATCCCTGCAATTCCATATGGGCAGAGAAAAGTACTATGGAACAACTTAATACCTTGTGTGAAATTTAAATGTGCTAGAAACACTGCAGCTAGTGATCAATTTTCATTTGGTTTTGTTTTGCCTTCTTACCACCTCAGACTTCAGAATGCACAAAAGTACAATTTCAGATTTTCAGGGCTGCTTACACCAATACATGAAAAACTAGATACTGTATTTTATTACAGTGCTTTGCGGCAAGGGTGGACTGATAATGTGAAAGCCTTGCTAGGGTTAGTCAGCACTTCTAAAATCTTTACTGTATATATAGGCTGGGAGGAGTTTAATTAAACTCATACTAAAAGCTGGATCATCTTGCTTTACTGTCAACAGTCCACACATCAATCTTGACATTACAAAGTATGTGCCACCTTTAAAAATTCCTCTGAAGTCACCAATTGCTGTTATTATTTTTCTTCTAAATTACAGGCCTACCAGGAGCAATGAAAAAAAAACACTCCAGTCCTAAACCAATGTAACCTGATCGCTCCATCTCTCCCTCCCTCTCCTTCTGAGGGCAGCTATGCAGACAGGCCTGGAGCACAGCAGGCAGAGCACAATGCACCATGTGTTGTGCACGGCTGCAAGCACTTCCTCTGAAACACTGCGAGCCTTCCTTCGAGTTGAGACATGTCTGTAAAAGGCTAATCACAACCAAACCTACACTTTTAAAGTCTAGGCTGCAGGACAATGCTTCACTTTTTTTTCAGGGACTACATTCCTGCCCCCAATCCTATTCCAAGCTAAGGCTTGTTTTTTTATATTTATGTCATCTAAAGGTGTCTTGAAACCACCTTTGTACAAATAATTAGAAAAATAACTATAAGGAAGAAGTATAAGAAGGACTGTGCGGCACAGCAATCTAATACATTATACTTTCCAGCTTCAGAAAATGTAAAACCTGGCACGGCTCTCAGGAGGAAGGGCCCAGTGACCTCCAGCACTGTCGGACAGATCTATTACAGAACTAAAACCAACCTCTGAATGTCCCACTTCCATCCACCATAGCCTGCACTGAAAAGACAGTCACTTCTGATTCTGCTTTTGCATTCAGCTTGTACCTTGTCTAGACACCTAAACATGACCTGATTCTGGACTCTTTTCCCAAACCAATGAGTACAGGCTGGATGGAAACGCATAACTGTTTTCATTAATGACATAAGATGTTAACATTTAATCCATATTGTGGGAAAAGACAGGTGAAAAGGCACTCAACAGTATCTTTTTTTAACCAAATGCCATTAGTGATGATCTATGTGTAATAATTTTTATAAATTAGAAAGTAATTCCTTAATGTACTGACAAATTCCTGTCTTCCACTAGGTGTTACAGCAAACCTTGCAGAGAAATGCCACAAGGCACAAATGAAAGACACTAAAGCTGAAATGCACAGAGCACAACAGGAAGAGTGGAAACAGGGAGAAGGGTCACTGGTCATCTTAAAGAGTCCATTCCTTCATAATGGGCAAAGAGTTGCCCATTACATCACCCTCATTTGTGCAGTTTCATCTTGAACACTGCAACAGGAACAAATGCATTTGGACCAAGTGAACATAAAATCTAAGAGTGCGGGCTTTCTAGCTAATGGGGGGTGGCTGTTCACCCTTTGGTCCTGGGATCAATTTCAACAGGGGACACGCCTGATTTTACATGTTCTTCTCAAATTCACAAGAGTTTTTGCCACGTTGGGTTTCCTACCACCTCTTAACAGACATGCTGGCCAGGTTAATCAGGGTCTCTAAACTGTCCATTTTACAAAACGTACCTGGCGATGGACTGGCATCCAACCTAGAGTTTGAATTCTGTAAATTGCCTTATCCTTCTTAACTAGGCTATGGTTTGCCACAACGCTTTCTGGGATTAATTGGCTTTCTGATAACTGATGGGCATATATCTTAATAGCAGATTTATTGCCTACATTTCAAGGCTTTCAATTGAAGCAGCAACATTTAATAGACAAAGTTCACAAATGAGAGGTCATTGTGCTCATCTATCCCTTTTGGTTTATAGCAACTAATTCATGGATTTCATCCATTTGTAACTTGAAAGAT